GTTATCCAACATCAACACGCTCCAAAATTTCCTTCATAATATTCCTTAGTCCATAAATAAGTTATATCAATAACATATTTTTTTTAAATTTTTATCTTCGCGAATTTTATCTTTTATCTAGACATATTAAATCGTTCATAAAATTGATATCTAGACATATTAAATCGTTCATAAAATTGATATCTAGACATATTAAATCGCTCATTGTTCGTAAATCATTATTTTATCTAGACTTATTTTCTTTCAATCTAAACAATGGTATTGTGTAAATAATATAAACAAACACGGAAATTTGGTTTAACTAATTGATGAAGATATTCTACATCAACACGCTCCAAAATTTCCTTCATAATATACCTTAGTTCATAAATAAGTAATATCAATAACACATTTTTTTTAAAATTTTTAACTTCTCGAATTTTGGCTTTTATCTAGACATATTAAATAGAGAGTTTGATCTCAATAAATAAATGAAATAATTCGAAATAAAATAGAATAACACAATAAATGATTAAATAAATCCTATAGATCTCACGTTCTGATAATAAGACTCGGGTTCGGGTGGAATCGGGCCACTAAATGTGTTTCCTCTAACAGATATCTGTATTAATAGCTCCAACACTAATAAATGCTTGAAAATAGTTTTAGTACGGGTAGTAATTTACAGGTTTAGTTGCAATTTTACACTCATTACTTCTTTTAAAGAAAGCTTAGGGTAGAGCTAATTTTCTTCATGCATTGGTATTTTTGTAGAAAATTTCCCTATATATAATAAAAATACAGTATAGTCTCATATTCTAACAAAACCGTGACGTAACGTGATCAATTAATTTAATTAAATACTCTGTTACAGTTTCTATTTTGTTTTCGATACATTTTTATTGGCAGGAAAATCACACGATATTATCCAGTTAGCCTTATTTTTTTGGTTTTCATCAAAATGAAATTAAAAAAAAGTCATTGAACTATTGCTTTCGTATAAAATATTTTTGTATCCGTAATTTAAAGGCTTTTACCTTTAATATTTTTTTTATTCTACTCTACTATTATTATTTACGATTGCTATTATCTATTGTTATTATTATGATTTTGATTTTGATTGTTTTCACAATTAAGTATTTAAATTTAAAAGAGTTGTTTCTTTATTATGGAGTAATTCTATGAAATTTCCTTATTATGCTACAGTTTAGGATAAACTTATCCAAAATGGTGTCTAAATTTTTTAACCGTTTTGTAATTATTATTTTTGGTGCAAATTACTATAATAAACTACTGTGAATTACAGTTAAGAAGATCCGCTAAATTATAATGGTTAATAAAAGATCAGGTTATGCATGTACAAATTGTGTTTAATTTGTCAGATTGTTTACTAAGCGAAAATATTTGATTACAGTTGTAAAACTTAGTAAATTCTGTTTTAACAGTATACCTTTGATTTTAAATGTTATTTTAAACTATCATAATTATAAATAGATCTTAATATAATTTTAAAGGAACTGTTTGGACGTGAGAAGAGCAAACAAGAACAATTTTTTCACACTTCAATGATTTTACAGTAAGTTTTACTTTAAAATTATTAAATCGCAGTAATAAATAAACAGTACCGTAAAAACTAGGGTATTAAATTTTACGATAAAATAGATTTTATGGTTAAATGAATTTTACGGATGGTCTGGGTGCCAGTATTTCTTACCGTAATTTCAGGAACTTGCCCCCTAGTGTATTATAAAATAGTAATTCGTGAACTGAGTAACATTTATATTTTAATTAGCAAATAATATTTTAAATTACAAGACAATACCAATGAATATTTTAATTATTAAAAATTGTAGCTTATATACGCTACTCTTTCCTTTTTTGTGTAATGAATTAATACTTGAAAGTATTACATTGTACTACATCTGTAGGGTATTTGGTTCCCGTGTAGTTTAATTTTACATTAAATCAAAATTAAAAATATTAAATACGTCCTCATGATAAAGAAAGAATTCTGATAAAATTATTTTTTTAAATAATAAAAATTTTGCTGTTCTGAAATTTTAAATATGATTAAGTTTTTCCTAAATAGTCACACTATACACACTGGAAAAATATTTTTAATCTCATTTTGTAAATATAATTACATAATTCTTTTCTTCTTCTTTATAACGATCTTATGATATTTTTAGCAAACATGCTGTAGACCTTGATATTTTTAATATGTCTCTTACTGTTTTTAAAATATCATATAAAATGTTTTTATGATGAAATTACATTTTTTTTCATTTTATACACAATTGCTATTAGATTTAATCTGTACTGTATATTTCTAATTAAAATAAAATAATAAAAAATACTTAGTTTGTGAATCAAAATTATTAATTAAAAATACGATTGACAGAATCTTAAAAATTGCCGTTATTTCGTTAATTTAGTTTTCTTCTTGATATACGAAATGTACGATTTCCTTAAAATATAAATATATTGAATTTATTAACAATGACGTTAATAAATTCAATTATTTTAAGGTAGAAAAAAAAGTTCAATCTAGTTGCGAAAAATAATAGTTTTCACTTGCATCAATAGATGGAGCTCTACTTCCTCCAAGTCTTGTTAGTAGAAACAAAATGGGTAAGATAGAAAAAATAACATTTTTCAAAAATGATAATAAAGGTAAAGAATAACAATTTCCCCTCGCGTTAAGAAATAATATTTTAAACAAGTCTTAAATTACATACTAATTGGAAACTGCTCGCAATCATTAACGTTAATTACATACAAATTTTTGAGTTAATTTTATAATTACTCACGAAAGTATGAAATATGTAAAAATAACATTCTTTTCAATTACCGTAATAATTTTTCAAAATAAATATCAGACTGTGTTATTTTATCATTCCTTCAAAATTACAGCGCTTTAATTACACATTAGTCACTCATTAAACATATTTCTTTTGTGCTCAACAACTTTCCTTTAAACTAAAATAAGCGAAAACTTTAGCTTATAAACACGTATTTTAAAGTAGTGACGATAAAAATTGACTCTCATGTTCTATTTGAGGAAACAGCGGAGTAATTGCTACTCGTTTGACTAAAGCGTAAAGCACCGGAACATGTTCTTCAAGTCAAAAGAGCTCAGCTCTTTAGCGCCCAGCGCCCCAGTGCTCTAGTTCTTAATTACGAAAATATCACCATTTTATGAAAGCAGTGTTAGGGCTGGTAATATGTAGTTTTCTTTGATCTAGTCTTCACGGCTTTGGTTAAGTGTATATTTGTTGGAGGATGTTGCACGTTTATTCAAAGTAAAGGTATAAATTTTTAAGTTGCTCTTGGAAAGAAAATTATGGCTTTAAGTGAAACAAGGTCTTCAGATTGTAAAATTTATATTTTGAAAGGTCTAGTAGATATATTATTTCGCAATTCTTTTAACTTTAAGTTATTAGTTAAAAGAAAGTGTTTTGCGAAGAAATATTTCTGGCAATGCAATTGGTTTTAAACAACAAATGCTGACTTTTCAATATAGACACACGACTTATACAGAGTACTCTATAATTACTACCCTTAATCTATATTCTTTGAAATCTCGTAAAAATTCAAGAAATCTTCAAATTAGTATTTAAGATAGGACAGCACAAAACGCAGTAGAAATGTAATGAATTAATTTCGTGGAAGACGGGGTTAAAAGCATCACAAGCAGTTTGATTGTTTAAAGAATGGTATGAGTCATAGAGGGATTATTAGAAATAATTCCAAGTTTCAACTGTCGATCAAACAAGTTTTGATCTTGTTTACACCCGCCTTAACCAATAGTGATGTGTTAGATTTCATTATCGATTTTGTGTTTTTATCGTTTCATTTGCGACTATTAAAGACAATTTTTTAAATATATCCCTTTATCACCAATTACTCACTATTTAATGAAAATAGTGCAAAAGCTAGCAATATGTTGTTTCTTTGATCACGGCTTTGCTTAAGTATTTACCGTGGAAATTACCGTGCATTAAATGGTGACTGGTGCACGTTAAATCTGTTGGATCGCAAAGTTCTCTATGTTCCCATAAGAAATCTTACTTCAGGGGTTACATAATTGTAGATTGATCGTTCTCTGGTTCAGGTTAATTTACAATCTTCTGATGGTGTGTAAATGTGTCCTTCTTGTAAAACGGAATGGGACTAATGTATATTGTCTCCTTATCATCCTTATGGATGTTTTTCAGACTATCGTCAATAGCCCATTGTGCAGTTCTAGAGCGACATAAATAACAGCACCTTACTGACTCAATCGAAGAAAAATATAATGCTTATATAAAAGGTATGTTTCGTTTTATATAGATGAATGTTTGTGTGTGTGTCCTTTATTGACTCCTAAACCATCCAACCAAAAACGATAAAATTCGTTATAAGATTTAAGTGGATAAACCAGGTAAGTGACATTTTCAGAGAGACTATAATCAGAGTAAGAGGGAAAAAAGTTGTCTCAGAACTATTTTATTACCTATTTATTAGAAGGCGGAACTAATAATCCTTCTCCTTATTTTATTTACCACAGCTTAATTTGAAAATAAAAATTACGCATACGCACTAAAAACTTATGTGGATTAGTCACGTTAGATTAAGGTGAAAGCAAACACAATTTTGTTTCATTAAATATGTCTTTATTGATGCAACCACTTCATGTTATTCATAAATACCTCTAAATTGTCACTTACCGGGTTCTTCCACTGAACTCTTCAATTATGTCGGCATATTTGTCATATCTGTGCATGATTTCCTAGTGCTGTTCAGTACTGATTAATTGATTCACTTTATATTCGCTCGCTTTCCCCGTAGAAAAAACGCGTATTCAGTTGATTTAAATAAAACGATAAACCAGTACACCAGAAAACATGAAAGGAAAATCATCGAACCATAAAACGTGGAGCAAAGGGACGCTTATTATGATTAAGCAGAAACATCTATTCAAGTTTCAAAATTCAAGACAGGAATGCTTTTAACGCATAGTTTAAGAATCAATTACATACCTGATATTGTCTTGACCAATATTTCAATTCTCGCATAATCCGTTCGCTGAGGTGATCCACCATCGACAGCTGTTACTCCCAACTCGACCACAGGCTCTGAAGTTCCAGATTCAAGTGACTTTGCTAAAGTCAGGACACCAGATTGCGGATCAATTATGAAGCGACCTCTTGGGTCCTCTGGATGATCCAATTTGTAGAACACTTCTGTATTATATGGAATTGTGTCCTCATCTTTGGCTTTAACTTTGAGGACAGATGAACCTACTTTTGATCGAACATGCAGTTCACCTCGATAGACATCATGCTCGAACACTGGCGGATGGATGTTGAATTCTGTAACAGTAATTTGAAGTTGGCGTAGTTTGGTTTCTCCTTGGCTGATTGCAACGGCAATAATCTGTTGAAAAAGAAACGAATGTCAAGTTTGGAATACGAAAGCAAAACAATACAAAAAACTGCGATAATATTAGATTGATTAATGTTTTTTCTGTTCCTCCTATAACTTTCTACCTGTTTTAAGAACTATTTATTAACTAAACAGATCTTAAATAACTGCTCAAGCAAGATCATGACTTATTTTTATTTCATCAAAAACTAACAATAAAAAAATTAAAAAGTGAATGCTTTTTGAAAAGTTTTCATTTGAAAGCTTCTTTGGTTAGAGTACAGCCAGGTTCATTTTCTTAATTGATGTTAATCTTATTTTTAATGTATTTAGATGTTATGCATAGTATTTTGATTATTTAGCAAAACTGTGAACATATTTTGAAAAAAAAAAACTTTTCTATTGCACTGTAAAAATTCTGGATCAAATTAAGGTATAAAGTACTGTTACATTAAGTGCGTCATCCGTACTGTCAAATCAATTTTTGCCATAAAATATTGTACCATAATTTTTACAATAATATATATTTAATTAGAATAAGAGATTTTATAGTTTATTAATACTGTAAAAATTACAGTATAATTGATTTTTTGTTCCGTAACATGTTCCAGTAAAAGTGTATTTTACTGTAAAAAGTACTTGCACCCTATGTGCTGGTATTCTTTACCGTAATTTGATACAGAATTTTTCACAGTGTGTCGAATTAGTATTAATAAAGCTATTGTTTCAATCAATTATATGTTAAGCTATCTGCTTTTTATAAACTATGCAATATAAATTAAAAACACGATTGAAATTGAAGGCATATTTGTTTTAAGACAGCAGTGTGGGTAGCAGTAAGAAAAAATGTGGGCTTATTATAAAGTTTACCCTTTGACGCAAATAGATATTTCATTATGACGCAAATAGATGTATATATATTTTTCTGAATCTCTAATTACAAGAAAAAAATATATTTTGGTAGTATATATAAAGATATATTTTTAATTACAAAAAAACAGTATAATATTTACAGCAAAAAATCTATTATATTTTCGGAATTATATTTGTACTAAAATATAAAGTCTAAAAAATAGTAGTTTGAATATTTGTTTTCATATTAATAAATTTATCAATAATTGACATGTATCAAATCCATATAGTGGGACAGACTTAACATCCGTATTATAATTTATTTTCAATTTGTCATGTTTTAGTTTTTCTAGAATTTACTAAGAATAACGCAACTGCTTTTGGCTTTGTTTAATCTATTTAGTATAATTTAATCAGTTCCTCCTTTTTCGTTAATTATATTCCCAAGATATTTAAAATTGCCTACTTCCTCCAGTTTGCATATTTCTCTTATTTTATCCTAAATTAATACAAAGTAAGAAAAAACGCATGAAAAATATGTTTAATAAAAATTCTGTATCAAAGGATAAATTGGTTTTAAGTTTTATCTTTGTGTCCTGTGAATAAAAGCTATATTTTTAAGGATATTTATTTCTATATCTTCAAAGATTACACGAGGCGTAAATTCAGAGAAGTAGCTGATTAAAAACAAAAATATTTGCATAATGCTTTCTCTCCTCTTAAGTTTTATACACTTTGAGCAGCGGAATGCGAAAATATAAGTTCCATTAAATCAAGTAGAAGCATTATCCACTTCAGTTTGAGTCATTAAGCCCATTCATTTCATTACACACTTATTTCAGTTCCTCCTTCATGTTCTAAATTCGAATCCGTTTCATAATTCTTTTGCTCAACTACTTAACCACCCTCTATATCATTCTACTGCCGCATAAATATCCTGCTCAATGCGAGATAACATTCGAAATATTGATCACCTATTGAATCCAACTTTGATGACGGGGTCGCTAAAATCCGAAGCATAAGTAGGCTAGATCATTGGTTGAAGATAAGTGGTGATGACCAACAATCCTAAGCCGCGGCAATCACTGTTGGTTGAGAGGCTTAAGCCTAACGAATTCTCCGATAGCATTTATGATCCAAATTTAAGGATTATTTAAAATAATCGGCCGACTAACGAGTCAGCAGAGTTGATGCCATTTCGAGTTTGTTTACGAATAAGTTGGACTAGAGCAATTAGGCATTATACGGAGTAGGATTTGAGACGTGTCCCTGCTTCTATATTTAAATTGTTCTTGAAAGAACGGATCCGTTAAGTAGCCGTAAAACTATACGGCGAGAGAAAATTAATTGAGGAACAACTTTCACTACAACTTTCACTGCTCAATTGAATTTGGAGGAGTTTTACTAATTGCCGGTCGACAGAGTTCGCGCAACTTCGTGTTTAATTAGGTTTCTAATTTCAACAGTTTTCGTCGAGAAAATGCTGTATGACAAGGCTTATTATAATAGATGTATCTGGAATTGAAGCAAGCTCTAATGCCCCATAGTTTATCAATGAAGTTTGAAAAGTTCAGGTGTTTTATAAAAGTGTGGCGGACTATTTTACCAATTGGAGGAATTATTGAAATAAAGTGAGAATGCATTGTTTAAGAACCCATTGTAACTATATAAATGGTAACATTCGAATGCTAAATTCGTTTACAAATTGCCACGGAATTTATTCGATGTGAGAGTAAATACTCAGCTGATGCGACAGAAATAAATTAGTTACTATTTTAAAAGAGTTCATTATTCTGAACTTTTTATACATCAATTGATTTTCAATTATTGTGAAGCTAATTATAGCAGGTCATATAATTGCTTTAAATGAAGGAGTTAATGCGAAATAATTGTTTTAATTTAGTTATTATTTTATATTTATTTTATGCTTATCTTTTTCTAAAATATTTTTACGCGTCTATGCAACTTTATTTTTTATCTGTCCTGTAATAGAGAGGCGTTATGCTCTTACAATAATAGGACCATTCTTTCATTTCAAAATCATTTGCTTAAAGATCACATCAAAGTTTTTCACAAAGAAATATTTTCCTCGTTATATCACAATTTAAATAAATATTTCAATAAAATGAAAGAAAAAAAATTAAAATTTCATAATTATAAAAATTCAAAAACTTGAAATGTAAAAAACAGTTGTCATACTTTGTTAAAGAAGAAAATCAATCTTAAGTTAAAGATTTAAGTATTGCTAACTTTTTTTAATTTTTTTAATGACACATTGGTTGCTATTCTGAAGTTTAAAACTTCTGTATTTTTAGGGACATTTTTGCTGGATACGGGGCTGTATTCCTCAAAAGGAGGAAAACAGTTCAAAAATCTCAGCAGTGTTGTGCTGGAAGATACTAGTTTCAAATATAGGCTATATTATAAAAAATTTATCTATTTGTGGTGTTGACTACAAACTTGGAAAAAAACGACAATATGTGATGGTTGTTTTGAAAAAAAAAACAACCATCGCATATCCTTCTGTTAGACATGGATAGATGCTAAATTCGAAGAAAATTTGAAGGGTCGGATTTTTCAGAAGGAGGGGACATCTTCGCTAGAACCATATTTCAGCAGGTCACATTCAGTACTTTTTTATAAATTTATTTTAAATTCAGCTATAAAAAACCATTAGAGCATTAAATTTAATATAAAATATGCATTAAAATTTAAATTAATTCCATTTATATTATTAAGTCATATTAGTAATAATATAAATCCTCCATGTTCCCATAACAAATAAATACCTCTGGGGGTACGGGATTGGAGATCGATCGTTCTCTGATTCAGGTTAAAATTACGATCTGTGAATGAATGAAGGGATGTATGAATGGGTCCGCCCTATAAACGGGTGTGACGTATGGTGTGGCAGAAGTCGAATTCTTGGCCATAGATAGCGCCACTGGAAAACAAGAACAATCGCACCCCCTCTGCCTAAACAGACTTCTATTGTGGGATAAACAGGCATACGTCAACAACAACAAGCCATATTAGTATTTAAATTAATAAATTTACTTTTTACTCATGAGACAATTTTAGTTTTACAGGTGGAAGCGATTTGGTGTGGCAGAAGTCGAATTCTTGGCCATAGATGGCGCCACTGGAAAACAAGAGCAATCTCACCCCCTCTGATGCCTAAACAGGCATACGTCAACAACAACAAGCCATATTTCTATTTAAATTAATACATTTATTTATTACTCATGAGACAATTTTAGTTTTACAGGTGGAAGCGATTTGATGCATGAACTATTTCTGTATTTTCTATATATTCTTTTTTATTTTCTATTTAACATCAGAAATTTTTTCAAAAATTATTTACAGTCCAGAAAAAGTTGGAGTAAGTTTTCTAGTATTAGGGAATTCAAATTCGTATACATTATAGTATCTTTATGAGAAAATTTGATATGAGTGAATCTTGCATCATAATAAATTTTATTTTCTCTTGATACTGTATTGTCCTTTCAACATCATTTTGTCTAGCTTCTTCTATTGTGGGATAAATTTCTTCTGACAAAAGGTGAGTAAATGGAACATTGCCAAACATTAAATAATTTGGTGGAAACTTAGTTACTTAATGTGGAGTCAAATCATATTCTTCAGTTACTTCTTTAAATAATTTAGGCCAAGGAATATTTTTGTGTGGAACATTAATTTTATATTTTAAACGCGTTACAAAAGCTTGTCCTAAACGTTAAACTTTTCCATTAGTTTCGGATCCATGGACAGCAGTTAATAATTGTTTGATTTTACGATGTTTAAAAATTTTCTAAAATGTGGAGAAATAAATGGTGCGTTTGATCATTTAAAATACTTTTAAGAGTTTGAAAATTTTGGTGCGAAAACTCAATATAAGTAATATTATGTAGAGTAGTTAATATTTTAATATACACTGGTGGACAAAATTAAGAGACGGAAAGCATTTTCGCACATTTCTATGACGCTATATTAATCTATGACGCACATTTCTATGACGCTATGACGCTATTTCTGGACGGTTATTGATATGGAGGGAACCTGGAACCCGATACCATGCCAGCAACATTATCGAAAGGTACCATTATGCTGGTGGAGGACTCATGGTCTGGGCAGGGATCATGCAAGATACCCGCACACCA